ATAGGAAGGGGGGGGGGCCGGGGTTCGAGACGAGTGGTTTGCAATGTTCTTTTTCACTGAACTACACCGCATTTACATTAATGAGAATCAGTTTATTCTTAAACTTAGGGTTTAGGAACAAATCAAAGGTGGTCAACGTTGTTATAATTTACTTATAGTGGTCCACTTAGTTCGTCATGGTGCAATGACTTTCTAAATTGTGGAATTTCCACAACCTCAACTGTAAAGAACCACGGGAGCCTATCTACGTCCAGATACGTGAGCTTATCATTTGAAAAGAGAAAAGTTGGTGTACACAAAGTCACAAACTTTCATTTTTCTAACACTGGCATAAAGTAATGAAGCATTCTTTCTGCAATCAGATTATTTATTTTAATAGGAATATTTTTATGTATCATTTGTGTATGTGACATCAAGTAAGTCATTAATTCAGTATTCTATATAGCAGAATAAGGGAATAATTCTACATTCTGTTTATGCTCTTCTTATTCTCTGCCTAATCAACTACAACAAAATGAATGTATTTTTCATTTCATTTGGAAAATAAAAGACATTCTGATTCACATTACAAAGAATTGAGAAATTCAATAATTTGTTCGGGACAGAGTTAACCTGCTGCATTGGCCTTAGTTCAATGCAGATCCAATAAGAGTGTCTCTGACTTGTTTCAATTCCTTGACAACATGGCTAACATCCATTCTCCCTCTAGGTGATTCCACTGAACAAGCAACTCCAATTTTGAGTATTGCAATCAGGCAGTCCTGATTCAGCTCATCTTTTCCCTGCCCCACAATACATTTCTCTTCACAAGTTAATTCCTCATCTTCTCCTCCCCCTCCTTCAACAAACAATGGATCTAAAATTTCTGATATTTGTTCAGGCAATGCATTGCTAACAAAATTATGGAGTTGCACTCCGTCTTTAAACATGTCATTGGTGGGCTTCTTTCCTGTGAACATCTCCAACAAAAGTATCCCAAAGCTGTATACATCCCCATACGTTGTAACCATGCTTCCCATGCCATACTCTACAACATTGTAGTTTCGATTATTACATTGGATCCTCTCATGTGCTTAGTTCAGTTGCACAGTTAATTTTTTTTCAGAAAATTTACCCAGCTATGAGACCTTCTGATTAATTGGTTTTGGTTTTCATGACAGTTCCCAGTTAATATTTTTCAAAGGCTTATTATAGAATGCAAGCGTGCAACAACAGTTAAATAGAACAGAAACAACAGAAACAGATAAGAGTTATAAACTACCTGGTGCAGCATACCCAACTGTTCCTTTCAATCCTACTGAGCTGCTTTGATTTAGATTGCATCTAGTTGTAGCTTCTGGAACGAACCTTGCTAATCCAAAATCACCCACATGAGCAATCAGATCATTGTCAAGTAGGATGTTGCTAGGCTTCAGATCACAATGAACAATTGGATCTTGGCAATGATGATGAAGATAATCTAGAGCAGAGGCCACATCAATGGCAATGTTTAATCTTTGGAGAAGACTTAGTATCCTCAAATCACCATCTACATCCCCTGCTTCTGAAATTGGATGTAGCCAACTCTCCAGACTTCCATTGGGCATATACTCATAGATAAGAGCTTTGAAATCATTACCTTGAAAATCAAGACTTGAGCAAGTAGTCAAGATTTTAACAAGATTCCGGTGCCGGATGTTTCTCATGGCTTCACATTCAGCTACGAAGCTTTTTAGGGCTCCTTGTTGATGTAGGTAGAGTACCTTTACTGCAACAGCAGTGTCATTTGGACCAAGAATTCCTTTGTAGACAGAACCAAAGCTACCAGTACCAATTAAGTTGGCAGAGGAAAATCCACCAGTAGCTTGAAGGAGAGTTTCATAAGATACCTTCAAATGAAATTCCTTAGTTGGTGTAGCATCTGTAGAAGGTTTCGCCTTCATCTTCCTTAACCGCCGGATAACTAGAAGAGACATGACCAAAACTAGTCCCAGAAGTCCAGAAAGCAATAAGATCATTAATTTGAGTCCTTGAGATATCTTTCTTTTCTTTGGCTTACTGGCAATGCAAGCTGGGAATTCTAATTCAGGTATGCCTCCACAAAGCTTTTGATTTCCTGCCACTGAAATTGCAGATGTATTTTTGAAAACCCCTCCAGTTGGCACCCCACCCTCAAAGTGGTTGAAAGAAAGATTTAAGTTCACAAGGGAAAAGTGCTGAAAAAAAACTGGAATTTGGCCAGATAAGTAGTTGTGTGAAAGATCCAAGTCTTGAAGTCCTCTCAAGGAACTAAAAGATGGAGGAATGGTTCCTTCAAAGAAGTTACCCTCCAAGTGAAGGTGTTCTAAGGACACACAGCTACCAAGGCTACTAGGAAGTTCTCCTGACAACTTATTCTCAGAAAGATCCAAGTTTCCTAGATTTTTCAAGGCTCCAACTTCTGAGGGCAGGGAACCAGTCAATTGATTATGAGCAAGGTTAAGGGAAATGGTTAGGGAAGACTGACTCATAAGTTGTTTGGGTATGGTTCCATTGAGATGATTCTGAGAAAGGTCTAGCTCTTGCAAGTATGAAAGATTTCCAAAACTCAAAGGAATAGTCCCCGTTAAGCGGTTCTTTTGAAGATAAAGAGCATATAGTTGAGTTATGTTGGCTAGTGATGATGGAATCTGGCCAGAAAACTCATTTTCAGATAAATCTAATCTCCTTAGCATCCAAAGGTTACCAATAATAGCAGGAATACTACCACTGAAGTTATTTTTCTCCATTGTTAATTCAGTCAGGTTAACAAAGTTATTCTCGATACCACTAGGGATGCTTCCGGATAATTGATTTCTTCCCAGTCTCAATGACACAAGTTGGTTTGAGAAGTTGGATATGGAATTAGGCAAGACACCTCCAAATTGGTTATCACTTAGATCAAGAATTTGCAGGTTCCTGCATCTACTTAAAGAGTTAAAGAAACTCAAGTCATCAGCTTCTCCTGTGCCTAGGGAATTGGAAGCAAGAACCAGCCACCACAGACTAGTTAAGCCTCCAAAATCAACTGTAATTTTTCCAGTGAAATTGCTTCCATTGGTATCAAATTCAAGAAGGTTTGAGGCATTGGACAATGATGTTGGTAGGGGTCCAGTGAATAGATTGTGGCCTAAATTCAACACTAGCAAATTAGGAAGAGTGAAGCCCAAGTCTGATGGCAAACTCCCCTCTAGTTGATTGTATGGCAAACTAAACTTTGCAAGAGATGAAAGATTGTAAACTGAGGGAGGAACCATACCAGAAAGTTGATTAAGGCCAAGTCCCAGAAATTCTAAATTCTTCAAGCGGCCCAATGAGTCTGGTATTTTTCCTTCCAAACTGTTAACTGCCAGAGACAGAGATTTTACAGAGGAAAGGTTGCCTAGAGAGCTTGGAAGTAGTCCACTGAGGTTGTTATAGTGAAGTTGAACTCTCTCAAGCTTCTGCAATGACCCCAGCTGAAATGGGATTTTTCCAATCAACTTGTTGAAGCCCAAACGAAGCCAGATGAGGCTAGAACAAGCAGAGAGATTAGATGGGATTTCGCCGGAAAACGAATTGTTGGACAAGTTGAGGTATTTGAGCCTGAAAAGATGGCCAATTTCTTGTGGGATCACATTGTGGAAGTGGTTGAGTTCAAGGTTAAGGCCTGAAAGGAAGGTGAGGTTTCCTATGTGAGGAGAGAGTGAGCCTACCAACTGATAGGAGCTCAAGTTCAGTGAGGTCACTCGTTGATGAAGGTGACCACAAGTGACACCTGTCCAGTTGCAGCAATGGAGTGAATCGTTCCATGAGCTCAAAATTCCATGGGGGTCCTTGATTACTTGAGCTTTGATGGCGAGCAAGGCAAGCCTATCAGTCTCAGTTCCATTGGAAAAGGTGAACGCAGCTGCAAAAGTGGGAAATGATGAATGCAGCAAGGTGATCATGAACAAATGTAGGACAAACAGATGGAAGAAAATTGGGAGATATGCCATTGCTGGTTCTGACTCTTCTGAGAAGATAATTGGTATGGGAGAAAGAGGCTATGTAGGTTTAAGAGGTATGGGCATGTCTGCTTTTTGGAGGGATTCTTAAATAAAGACTCTTTGCCTTTTGGCTAGCCAATGCAAGTTGGTCCGTATTTTAGTGGCAAATTGGGGGGCATTCCTCTTTCTTCTTGATCAGTGGAGAAGGAGATTAGACTTTATGAGTGTCTTATATGCAGCAGAGTTTGGTGAAGTCAAAACTCTATCTAATTAGCCCACTAGTTTACTTGCGTAGCCATCAATCTTCTTCGGACCAAAAATAAAATTATTAATCTTGTAGGAGCCCTGTTAAGGTGAGTTGTGCACGCTGACGTTTATGGTACTCATAAAGCATCAATGACTAGAATGAATCCACGCATGCACGATTAATCTTAGCAAAATTCATATTGTATATACTATATAGTGTGCAACATTTTATAATAAATGTAGGGGGAAAGATGCCTCTATGGCCTAATGGACCAAATATATTTTGTCTTCCAAGTGTGAAATCAAAGACCAACTGACCAGAATCTGCAGTATGGTGTGCTGTGTTTGAAGCTTAATAGATAGAAGGGTGCCCGTGGCTAATGATTAGTTTTAGTTGCAGTGGACTAAGGTTGAGAAAGGACAATGCTAGTCTTGGCGGTGTATGAGTACAAGTACAAATCAAGCAGGTCTTTATGACTTGGCTAAGGTAGAAGCCAATGCAAGTCGATTAAACTATTAAGCTCCACTGCTCCCTGACTGTGTTCTAGTAATTTAAAACTTCAACCTTGTTTGTTTGGATATAAGATGAAAGTACTCAGAATTTTGGAGTTGTTGGGGGCATGTGTTGATTTAGAAATCCTCTCATGCTCATATTATCGTGTGGATTCAATGTGCATTGTAAGTGGCCAATCGACCGGCTAAATACTACCAGTCAATCGGCCACTTACAATGCACGCAGAATCTAGACAAGCTCGAAGTTGATTTAGGCCTATATATTTTTCTCATGAAGTCTGCTATTGGGCTATATGGGCTTTGTATACTAGGGCCAGAAGGCTGCTTTGGTCAATTGCATTGAGTATAAACTTGTGGGCCAAGAAAGAGAAGTGGACCCTTTTGAATCTTAATGCTAAGATGCATGAAATGAAACCCACTGCACATGAAGCTTTCGCTTGTAGCCATCCAAAAGAAAATACTTTCTCCATTGACTGGGTTAAGAAAGTTATCTCAACTTGAAGCGCAGAGTGCAATGTCTAAAAGCCGACCCAAATTTAAATATTTACCCAACCCAAGAACCAGATCCACTAAACTAATATTTTTTCTCGGGTCGATGATAACACGGTAACCCAGGCGGAAACCAAGGCCCAGTTTAATTTTTTTTTATTTTTTTTTATTTTTTTTTATTTTTTTTATCAATGTAAAGTGTGAATATACTAAATGAGCAATAATTGACCATCAGAACAGAAGGGCCACGTGACACCATCACCGTCCAGCATCTACTCCAACCATCAAAATAAATTTCAGATTATTGATTTGATCATGTAAAGACTTTTTTACCCATGGGCCATGAGGGGATACAGCCTACAGGGATGAGATTCAGAAGTTTTCTTCATTATCTGAAAGATATGTAATTATAAATTAATGTGTAAGTTTTCTTTTTGTTTACAAATTCCCGTTTTAAATCTCATTTTGTATCTTTATTAATATTTGAGAAAGAGAAAAGAAAACCAATATAACCCCAGAACCTTTTTTTTTCTCCTTCTAATAGTATATTCTTAAAAAGACTATTCACCCAATGAACAAAATTTTAGACATTATGAACTTAGAGTTGTTTAAACATGATCAACAAAATTACCCATTATTTTTTTTAATTTAAAAATTTTATTAAAAAAATCTCTTGACGTGTAAGCGCGTGCAGAAAGACTAATAAACCTTTAAAACAAATCTATAAATAAGAATTATATAGTTGAAAAACAATATTTACGCCTGATAAGTAATACTAAGTACATCACGCAAATTATTACTAGGTTTAAGCAAGCTACATACATCGCGTAGATTTCTACTAGTTTTAAGCAATTAAAGCACAAAACGCAACATTTGCCACTTTTAGTGATTATTATTGTCACTAAAACGGATTAAGGGCTGAGATTTTCAGATTGAAACAAGCAGTGATTACGGAGTGTATGATGTTGAAGACCACATCTTCACATTATCTTTCTCTCCATGCTTTGCTTTGAATCATGTCCCTATGATGAACTGTAAAACCTGTAAAATGGTTGGTTGAGATTCTCACGTTCGGGTAAAAGTCAGATTCAACTCAACCCCAAAATAGTGATGACGTGTCCCAAAGCCACGTGGAATCGGATCCGAATCTTTATCCCCATAAGGGGCCCCACCACTATATATACAACAACACTTCACTCAACAAAATTAGCCAAGAGAAAAAGTGATAGAGACCCATACCAGCAAACAAAAACTTCTCTCTTTACCTCCTCTCTCTCTCTCTCTCTCTCTCTCTGGAAATCGAAAGCAACCAACTTTGATTACAATTCGAGTTGTTTCAGTGACCGAGTTATGAAGACCCTGGTGAGCCCGAGTTCGAGGGTGGTCGTTGACAAGTACTGGGACAGAGAGAAGAATGCCTTTGTTCAGAGGCTTGAAGCTTGTTTTCTTAGGCCTAAGAGAAGTGTGGATTTTCGGTTCTTGAATTTGGTGTGTTTTCTGCAACAGAGCAAGCCTGTCAAGCCAGTCATTTGTCTCTCATCAAAAACCCAGGTCTCCTTCTTCATCTGTCTGCACCTTCATGATTTCATTTCTTGATTTTTGAAAAAGTTTTGCTTTTTGTTTTGTTTTCTCTGTTTCTGTTTCTAGAATATGGTATATTTTTTTCTCTGCTTTTATGATCACCCCTTTCTTTTTCTGTTGCGGAGAAAGTTTTGGAATCTTGCTTTGGGTTGGGGCTGAAGAGGGTACTGCTAGATTCTCAACTTTTCTTCTTCTTTTTGTTCTGTTTGATTCTTGAATATATTTTTAATGGGCGCTTTTGTGAAGGATTGAAGCTTAGGCAATCATATGAGATGTTAATCTTGTTACTTTTGCACGACACTGAGTTTGAACTTTTCACCTCTAGTTTTTGTTTGTTTCTTCTTTTCGTTTATTTATGTATGTTTTCAAGATCAAGAAACGTATCAGAGAACCTTTACACGCGTGTTCATCTTGTTCTGGAAGCATTGTTTCATAGAGATATAGAATCATGCAATGTAATGGGAAGATACAGGAAAAAGATGATTTGCAAAATTTGCTTTTTTTCTTTCATTCGGATTTTAATCATTATCCATACAAGAAGACAATGTATTAATCTGAGTACTACTTGTACTGAAATAGTCAATCTGATTTTTTAGCATTCTCTATGCAGACTGAATTGGAGGTGACAGATGATCAAATCCAAGAAACACGTGAGTCCTTTGTCTTTTTTTTTTTTTAAAAAAAAAAAAATATATGCATTTTAGTCTCACTGAAAGTATTCCATGTTGTGCAGATCATACAAAAACTATTCATGTCAAATTCCAGTTGCAGAAAGAGTGCTCGTTTGGGCAGCAGTTCCTCATAGTAGGGGATGATCCTATGTTCGGTTTGTGGGACCCTTCAAGTGCAATACCGATGAATTGGTCAGATGGGAATGTGTGGACTGTTGAGCTGGTGAGTAAAAATCTACCAATAAGTGAATTTTTTTTTGTTAAGTGAAGACCGGGTTTGGATTTTGATATGTTTGTGTTTAATCAGGATATACCAGTTGGGAAATCGGTCCAGTTCAAGTTCATACTAAAAGAAATCACAGGGAATATCTTGTGGCAGCCTGGCCCAGATCGAATTTTCCAGACCTGGGAAACGAAGAACACAATCACTGTTTGTGAAGATTGGGCAGATGCTGAACTTCAGAAAATAATAGAGGAAAATCAAGCTAATCAAAGTGTTGGTTCTAATGTTAACTCAGATATGTCCATTGTAGCTGAGAACCTGACTCTTCCAGAGGAACTGGCTTTGAATATCACCAAGGAACCAACCATTGCTGATAGTAGCACTGATCCAGCAGAGAAACCATTGGCGGAACCATGGAAGGAACAAATTGTTGCTGATAAAGTTTCTCCTTCACAAGAGGAACCCAAAACTACTGTTGCAGAGAATATAACCCCAAAATGGCCAAAGTCATATATGGAACCATGCGGTGAACAAATTGCTGCAAGAACTAAAGTGGTTGACGAAGAGAGAGTTATTTTTCCAAATGAGGACTATGCAGCCATCTCCAATAAGGAGTTGTTGGTGGCAGACAACATTTTTGGCAATAATGGCAGAGCTGCAACAGTAAGGAACCTTTCAAGCACTCACATTGAGGGAAGCCTAATCAACTCTGAAGAAGGTCATGTTCTGGTACCTGGCTTGACTCCTTCACCAGCTATTCCAACTGAAGAAGCAAAGAAAGAGAAAGTTGAGAAACAGATGTCTTTTGATGATGGCTCAGTTGGAGCCTTCGAAGCTAAGGATCTTAAGATGCCAGAGGTAACTGCTTGATGAGAGTGAAGTTCTTTTTCTTTCTCTTTGTCTTCTACTACTTTTACCTCAGCCTGAAATAACACTCCATTCCATTTCCGTAAACCTCGAGTTGTCCAGGACTATAGGAGATTCTTTACTTTCAAATAGTTTTTGGTTCCATCTTGTATGTTTTTGGAATCTATGTTTGTATGGAGAAAAGTTCAAGAAGATGATGTATGGCAAGGTATCTATTTGATTTCATCAATCCAACTAAAAGATTAGAAACGTTTTGTTCCTTACAATCTGCTGTCAACAAGTTGAACATTTTCACACTATATTGTTGTAATAAAATTTGTATGCTACAGCAGTTTAAGCAATAGAAACCACAAGCAAGTTTTCTCCTAGTGCAAATCAAATTTGTGCTGTGTGATTAAAACTGAACTATCCGCTGTCAAAATGTGACACTGATTGCTCTATCAAGCATTTCATTTATTTGTTTGCTGCTGGTAATCCTTGAGCATTTCCATAGTCAAATATTCAATATACAGGAACCCTATTGCTAAAAACATGCGGATGTTGTCGTATGTATAATCATTCACCAATACTATTGCATATCGTTTGTGATTAGTGTTATGCCTAAGGTTATGTATTGTTCTCAACAGCAGATTTTGATATAGCTGTTCGTCCTTCTTGTTAATGCTATTGTTAATGTCCTCTTTTCTGTTCCTTTTCATGTACTCAAACCAATAGATTCAGCTAGACTTGAAGCAAGAGCCATACAGTGACCCACCGCAAGCAGAAACAACTGCTATCATCAAGGATAATGTACAGAGTTTCGACAATGAACTTGAGCAAAGCCCTGCTAAAAATGCAGAACATTCCAACTCAGAGTCAGCCAACGGTAGTGTCTTGCACAATGACCCACCTCAAGAAGAAACAAATGCCATGATCAACAATAACGAAGAGAAGTCTGATGACGATCAACTCAACCAAATGCATCACCCTGCTAAATGGGCAGACCAGTCTGACTCAGAGCCAATCAACAATAATGTCTTGGACAATGACGTACAATGGGGTCGTAAAATGCTGCAGAAATTTCTGAATAATTTCCGATTGCTTTAGTACCATCGACCTTGTAGAAAACCTGGGAAGGAATTTCTTGAATCCATTTAAGGCTGTGACTCTCCTGCTTTGTTGCTGAAGTTTTCTGGTGGCCCACAAAGAGGACAGGGGAGAGGGTAGCAATTATTGTATATGGTAGTACATATGAACTTGGTTGTTTTCAAACTAGTAGTATTGCTGCTTTCTTAGGATGTAAGAGTGCTCTCAGGTTTTTGTATTCTTTTGGTCTGTCATATGCATACCAGGACATACCCCATTCTGTCATGATACGTGGGGGGAGAATTTCTACCAAATACAACAAAGTTTTGTAAAGTTTCTTCATGATGCTAATTGAATAAGGATTTGATTGCTTCTTTCTAACGTTGTCATGAAATTAGGGTAAGACATGATGAAAAGGTGGGAGTTGCAGAACGAACCACCGGGAAGAATGAAAATGCTCAATTCCAAATTCCAAGCCAAGTACTTGGAGATTGGTGTTCATTATCAAACATTGCCCACAACGTACGGCATTTGGGTGCTTTTTTTGCCTCATTTCGAGGTCGGTATCTTGTTAAAATATAAGCACTCGAGTGTTGAGATTTATAATTTCAACCATTACAGCTAGATTTGTATATGCCTTTTTTTTATTATCTGAGATTCTGAGGCCAGATCTTTATAGTTTTTCTTTTGGGTCGAATGAAGTAAATTTCACTACTTTCCTACTCCATATTTTATTTTCTTCCTTGCATTCCAGTCTACCTGTATCTGATACCATATGAAGAAATGAGGAAAAAAAATACATTTTTGAAAAACACAATTTATTTACTTTGGCACGACAAATTTATTTAACAGAAAGGCTTTTTATCACAAATGGTCCATGCCATCAAAAATTCTATTAAGTGTATGATGTGGAAGATAAGTGGAGCCCACATGTCCAATCACATCGTGACATGTGGATTAAATAAATATTTTTTTTTTTTATGAAAATCCATTAAAAAACCATTTAGCCTCTCTCTCTCTCTCTCTCTCTCTCTCTCTCTCTTTTACCTCCATTATAAAAAATAAAAATAAAAAAGGTAAAAAACGTACAGAAGTTTCACATTAAAAAAGTGCGAACCTCTTTTATATGTGGAAGCAGAGAGATTCTTCCTTTTAATGTTTATAACATATTTTGTGTGGAAACACAAGCACCACCTTCCTTCTCTCCCTCTCGCTCTTTTACCTCTCAATCTATCTCTGTAACTCTGTTTCCGATTAACAAAAGATGTCCAATAACGAAGAGCCTATGGAGGAAACAAATGGGAATTCATTTCACATAGTGAAGCGGGATTTGAAAGATTGATCTAAGGTATGGCCAAATTTGAATAGTTTTTTAATGGATTTTCATCAAAAAAAAATATTTATTTATTTATTTAATCCACATGTCACGATGTGATTAGACATGTGAGCTCCACTTATCTTCCACATCATACACTTAACATAATTTTTTACGGCAGGGACCATTTGTGATAAAAAGTCCAAACGTTAAGGACTATTAGTGTCACAAAAAAACCTCAAGGACCATTCGTGATAATTTCGTAAACATTGAAGACCATTTGTGATAAAAAGCCTAAGAGAAATGCTAGCTACCTTCCTCACTTGCTTTTGGAGAAAAAATAATTATTTTTCTGTCTTGTTCATTAAGGTATCATATTAATTCTTTATCTTTGTCCACCTACTGTGATTTACAATCAAATAATTGCGTGATGGAAATAAATTATGCAACTTCCTCCCAATATTACATCAGGCTTTTCTGACCAAACCCGTAAATCCTCTTTGTGTTTTCAACTTCACAATATCCTGGGTGTGTTATTTGAAGCAAGGATGGACAGATTATGATATTTGAATCTGAACTAACTTTGTTTCTGGAACAAGACGGTCTCAAATTTCACTTTCCATGCAGAAACCCTTGTATTCATTCTAATTTACGCTAAAGTTTCAAAGGGTTAAAAAGCATGTAACTATATTCAGGTGAAAGCCAAGATGACCTGATGAATCAGAGATATAAACATCTCCAACCTCAGCTTTCCATTATGCAAGCGAGAAAAAATGGGGCAAGATGACAAAAAAATAGCCCACCTTTCCACCAACAAAATTACACATATTCACCTTGGTAATATCCATTGCCGTAAAAGCCAACCCATCTCCTTTTCCTTTTTCGTTCCCGTGGTTTCCCAAAACTACTGACTAGTTACAAAATCTGGATGCCGGGGAGAGATGGAGCCACTGGACCTCGCCGAGACCATCGTTTCATTTCTCAAAGGAGGGGGAAGAATGCACTAGCGGAAGCCTTCATTAATACAACTTTAGTGTCAAGGTTTGTCTGAAGGTACATTCTTCTGCGGCCGTGAAGATGATAAACTTTGTGAGCCATGCAATATTTCTCCCTTTAATCGTTTATTTGGAAGAGACTGTAGCAATCTGCAGATAGATTGTAACTAAAATAAGAACGTGGAAAACCGGCATATTCACGATTTAGAAACATTGAACTCATAAAGCCTTGTTTTTTTTTTTTTGGTAAATACCACACGGTGTCCCCACACCCAAAGGGTGGGATTAATCCCCGCTCGGGGTTTGGCTTGCCCCTGGCCACAAAGTGAACTCATAAAGCCTTTTATTATTCAAGAAAGGTGCCATAAGAATTAAAATCATGATTTTGTACTATTCACCAATCATACAGATACATAAGAAGACATCTAAAAACAAACAAAAAAGAAGAAAGGAGCCAAAGTTTAACATAAAACATGACTTGGCCAGATTTTTTCTATCCAACCAAGAACCCTTCAAAATTCCACATGGTTTTTTGGATAAGGCTCAATTCAAATAGGGTAAAAAGAAAGTACCATATTACCTTGGCAAACTTGCACGCTTTTGAACTTGCTGACTCACTGTAATAGAAGTACTTTCAGGTTCAACTTCAGTAGCCTGTATATTTGGTATTGAACACATGGGTTTTAATCAGGATATTCAACACAAAGGTTATTATGTTCACATATTAGATGGAGCTATACTATTCCAGAAAAAGAAAGGAGCGAATCATGGTTCAGAAGCTTCACTCTCACATGAAGAAAAAAGAGAGAGTTTCACCGCATTGCTCAAGTTAGACCCAGAATATAAATGGGGAAGAAAAGGGAATCTGTGAGAAGTTTAAAAGTCAACTAGAAGCAATACAGTGGGAAAAAAAAAAGGTAGGAAGGAAAAGATAAACCCTACTTAGTATGCTTATCCAATTGGAAGGTACTGAATAATTATTATTCTTACAGGTTAAGAAAAGAACATAGCTATATCAAGTACATAGGAATACTTGGATAATGGGTAGAAATGAGGGACTGACAACCAAGCCCGTACCTTTCAAAACAGGAATTAATGGAGCCTCTAAGGCAGCAGTAGCACACATGAAGCCAGCTCACTCCGCTTTCAGTGTTTTAGCCATCACATCTTCGTGAGATGCAAAATTCAAAAATAGGAGTGGTTTTCCTTGTAAAAAACCACTGCCCCTCATCTGGAATGTCTTGCCCACATACCCTTTATCCAAGCATCACCTATGTTTTTGAACATAGAAAATCAAATCAACTACTGAAAGCATGATCAATAATCCCCACCTCAGAAGTGCTTTCTTTAGGCATTCCATCTTCCCTTAGCAGCTCAGTCAATTCAGGACCGACGATGTCCAATACAAATCCATTTTCATTCCCGACTGAGACTTTATCAATATCTCTGTCCACAGCTCCAGAACGAGGTGCGAGATACGCTACATATTTATCTGCAATTCCGTTCAGCACATCATTTTTCTTTATATATGTTGGCTATCATATTTCAAACCACTAACAAACACAAATGAAAGCATCTCAGAAAATTGCAGGGAAAAAGATAATTTTGGTTAAAGAATAATGTTACCAGCCAAGCTGTGAAGAGCATTCTCAGCAGCCTGTTGTTGAGCGTCCTTCCTCGTCCTACCCATTCCAAAACCAATCTTCTCTCCAGTGAAGAGAACCTTCAGAAACAAAGGTTAACAATGAGCATGTTAGAGTCCAGTATTGATACAAGATAGTTCCTCGAAATAGAGAAGACAAATGCAAAATGCATAAACAAAAAAAAATTAAGATATGGAGTTTCAAATCATTTCCATGTTTGCTCTATTCATTCCACCAAACCAAGAAAAAGACCTTTTTTTTGGCTGCCAGCCTATTATTGATTTGTTCTGCTAAAGAAAGAGATAATTGAATCGGACGCACCACCCTTTAAGACAATTTTAAGTTCAAAGCATCTGTTGGTGACAATTTAATCATTTTACCAAAATCTTCGTAAAAGCTGAGCATACATCCTTTAAAAGACAGTACAACAGCTGTGAAGTTAACGAAGAACTGAGGGTGTAAAGGATAATTACCATAACCCAATAAGATTGAAGTCGTGCAAGCCAAAATGGCGCAGGCTATAGCGAACTTGTTTGTCTTGGGTTTCTGTGGGGGATCAAAGTCTGCAATACGATGGTCGTTCTGGAGTTGGCCGGAGACAGCATCGTCATCGACTCTTCGGTCAGCCATTTTGATATTTGGAGAGAGAGAGAGAGAGAGAGAGAGAGAGAGAGAGAGAGAGGGAGGGAGGGAGGGAGGGAGGGAGGAGTATAAAACTCAAGCTAATCCTACCTTTGAGCTGCATCTTCGTCCAATTTCCTGCAGCACTCCAATAGATAAAGGGGATGGCAGGAGGTTCACTTTTGCAGATTCTAATTGAGATTCTCTATTAAAAGAAGATGCCTGATTCTGGGATGCACCGGCCTCTGCACAAAAAAAACCAAAGGTAGAGTCATCAAAAGAAGATCCCCGATTCTTGTGCGTACAAGCTCTTGTACCATGTGATAAATTAACTTACCTGATAGCTGACTTGGAGGAGGAAGATTTTGTTTTTGTAAATCTTGCCCAGAGAATACCTGCAAATAGAGAGATTTTGACCACCGAGACATTTTCAGAGTGCTTATAACACCTTAATTAAGATTGTCAAAACCAGCGAGTGATTCCAAAATGAATTTCAAAGAATTCAGAACATACCTCTTCCCTTTTCACATCAGATTTTTGTGAGAGCAAACCACTGGGAGTAGAACCTGGTGTAGCAGGACTAAAAGGATTCTGGTGAACTAGCTTTTCAGATTTTATGATGTCAGGCGGTTGAACAAACCCAGAAGGTCGATTACTCGGAGGTCCCCTATTGTTGTCGTCATCCACCAACCATCCCCCTTGTGCATGTATTGAGGTTGCTGGCATTTGTGCAGGTACCCTGGATAGATGCGGGAGTTCAGCAGAGGTTTGATTTCTCATATCTAGACCAGGATTTGTACCAAGGAGTCCTCTCTTCATTTCATAGTCACGATCAGAAAAGCTGTCTCTTCTAACAGGAGGTCCAAGCAAACCAGGTTCTGAGGCATAATTGGAGATAACTTAGTATAAAAGCTAGGCAGTATAACACCACAAAATACTTTCAAAACCAATATCTTGAGATGAAGCTCATACTCTGAGAAGGCATGACCGGCCTCGAAGATGCTGCACCAACGACATTGGGAAGAATTGCAACAGGTGCCTGAGAGTTGTCCGATCTTACCTCAGCCTGATTTTTCAGAGAATGAGCCACTGAGTCTGCACCAAACTTGTCATCCTGAAATATAATTGTTCAAAATGTGAACGATCAATTATCATCATGACACATGCACACAACATGCCAATTCTCTAATTTAAAGACACAATATGTTTCCCCTGCGCTAATTTTCTGACATCAGATGAAAGATAATAACAGAAGCCATACAGAGGAAAAGCTTACAGATTGGTTTATTCTCCTTGCAACTTCACCGCCATTCATTCCTTCACTAACAGGAGCATTAAGATTTCCATTGGTTGCCAAACCAGCATCCTGTAATTCAAAACATCGGGACGATACCATAAAAGAATAGACATGGATACAAAGTTTCATTCAATTGATATAAAAATCGGATATTTTTAATTCACATACCTCAGACATCAAGTAATTGCTCACATCAGGAGCAGGAGGTAAATTTACCACCTCATCTTCATAAAAAACTTCAGAAATTCTTCGCAGTAAAATCTCATCAAACTCTCTGGAAACAATGGCATTGAAAAGGAGAAAATCAATTACAAAGACAATTCCCACAGAAATTATTATTAAATTAACCACATAGCATTAACCTATCTTACTTGAAAAAACAACCTCTGACATTGCATGCAACATTTCTTGCAACACAGAGGACGGGAACGGGACTTGCAGTCTGTAAAATAAAAGGTAAGGAAAAGAAAAGGAACTTGTCAAACTAAGAATCTTATGAAAACAAAAACAAGCTTTTGTTAAGACAAATCTTAGGAAAACAGATTTAGTACCTCTGCTTGAGGAGCATAATAAGGAGTGAATGCTGGAACTACATGAACTCGAGGTTGATCCTTATCTTCCCAAACCTTTGAACGGTCATCAATTACCATTGCCATCTTTGGATGGCACACTCCATGTTGAAAGACATTGAGTAAAGATTTCCTGGAGCCTGATAAGTCCAGAACCATGAGGGTTAGAACCGATGTGCTAAAGCAACTATTTAAGCTATGCAACAGCTTCTACTGGTTATACCATCACCGGAAATTCAATTTCTTACTGTTAGTTACCATCATGTTTGGATGCTTACCTGTTTTGACACAAACAACACGGTCCAGAAGTTGCTTTGAACCTATTAGGTGTGACTCTGGATCAAGAAGCCTCCACATTTCTAAGGCATAATCCCTTTCAGCCATGGTACAGACATAAACTTCAAACCGCTTGCGTCCTTTTGCAGTTAAATAACTTCTCAAATCTTCCCATGCAGGTCGTAACCTCACAAGCACGCTGGTATCACGAATCTGCACTAAAAAGTGATATTATATCGTAGCCTTTTGCACACTGGAATCAATAGAATCAAATATATCTCATAAAATGCAGCTACTTATCTGTCATTCTATATTGTTGTAAGAAGATAATTAGTCCAATACTGTACAAGTTCCTGACTAATCCAAATGACAATGAAATTTGCAAAGGCGGCGGAAAAAAGAAAACTCAGTAAAAATTAATGCATGCCTCAAATGATTGACAATTTGCCAAACAAATGTTGTTAAATACACTGCAGATGTTCAGAAAATCTAAGCAGGCCCAGCCAAATGCAAAAACGTAATACTTAGCTGTGCAAACAACATTATGCAACAGCAACATGCACCCGAACTGTCTCTGCTTAAGGACAAACTACGTTCTTTTCATATCTTTTTGATTGGGTTGGTCTTCACAAGTACTAGTTATGAAAGCTAATGGACGAATTGTTACAGAAAATGTAATCAAGCTATTGAATCCACCTTAACCCCATTGCAACATTTTTGTCTTCAGTAGTGAGCATTTTGTATAATGAATTGCTTTCTGTCATTCTAAACTTCTCCACTTACCAATCCACAAAGGAAACCAACCAAAATATAAATAAACTAACAAGCATGAATAGAAGATTTTCCAAACCTCAGGATTGATGCGAGTGAGCACAATGTTCTTCTCTGGCAATCTAATGATAGGCCGAACAATTTTCTCGTGGTTATCAGACAGCGGAGGAAAATCTTCCTGTTGAACCTTGTACACCTTTCCATTATCCACCACACAGTCATTATCTATGTACTGCTTCAACAGCCACCGATCGTCCATGTACCGCTTCATTTCAGCAGACATTCCGGCTATTCTCACCATTTCACTCTCGCGTGCAATCCAGCTTCGTAAAGCCTCAATTCTATCATCAAAAGACTTCATGGTGTTGGCAACAATCAGCGTCTCGTCGAGATCAAACACAATTGAGAGACACCTTAGATTCAGCATTCGTAGTGAAGCACTGTACAGACCTACAGGAACCGCATAGCACCAAAAGCAGGGAAACTTCTTCTGTTTACTCGGCATTGCCACCAAGTGAATCTCTTCACCACCAACCACTACAACCGCAGTCTGCATAAAAAAATCAAATCACCGCATTTAATTTATTACACTCCTCTTGATTAGCGAGAAAATAAAAAAGAAAATCTAGATCATATTCTTCCTCAATTAAGATATTAACTGAGCTAGCTTTACTATCCCAGTTAACTAAGCGTTTAGAAAATCAATGAATATCACGAAACTTCGGATTGTTTTTCTATGCTGCCGGTACATTTTCTCGGGAACCAAAGGGAAAACTCAATCTATAAAAATTTAATTAACAAAAGGCGAAAAATGGGAAAGCGGAGCAATTGAGTGGGACCTTGAACTCGTAGAAGCAGCAGGCGTGAAGATTGATCAAATGGGGCTGTTCAACAGGGGAGGTCGATTCGAGCTTGCATCGAACCGAAAATGACGAAATCGTTTGGAGAATTGAGAGAGGAGGGCATCGTTCACTTTGTTGCGATATGCGGTGGATTCGAATCTCATTGTTTGGGAACTGGAACTTCTGGTCCTTCACCGGAATAGCATCCAGTTCTCCCAAACACAGGTCGCCGTGGAAGACCACGGACTTAAACCCTAAACGGCTCATTTAGATCAATTTGAGAGCGAAAGCGGGAAAAGTTTGGGGCCAATTCGTAAATGTTGACGAAATCAGGTGGTTTTTTGTGAAAAATTGTGGAGTATTTCTCCAGTTTTGCTATCTATTTTCTGCTCCTCCTCTTCTCACTCTCAGACCTCTTCGCTCTCTCCTCTCTCTCTCTCTCTCCTCTCCCTCTCTCTGCCTACGGTTTCAAACAATGAGACTCCGTATGTATTTATATGCGCAAGGGTCAGTTATTTGTCCGAAATTACGAAAATATCCATTTGGTACGGAACCTATTGCCGTTGCTCAGCGATTGCGTGTCTTGCCCTTGGCGGGTAGAAGCTAAAAACAATGTTGTACTCGTGTCATATAAGGAAGTCCTTTGATTCTGGTTCACCGCCTATTGACCGTTGGATCATGGGTGGGATATTGAACTTGTGTGAATCTTTCAGCTCAAGACGCACAAATTTTAATTAACTTTTACGGGACAGATAATTAAATTTTATCACGAGTCAAGCAACGAATTAACGGAAATAGGAGAAGAACCTGATAGAATTAAAAGTGCTTTGGATTTGAAATTCAGTATATAATTTTTTTTTTTTAAACGTAATTTTATATTTCAAACACAAAAGAAATCAACAAAGAGTCCAACCAATTAATGGACCTGAAACAGATAAATATATTAGTTTAAATGTTTTGGTCAATAATTGGCTGGAAAAGATTATGTTTTGGTCAACAAAAATAATCCTTACTAATTTGGACTATCAGTCAGATATAAAGATTCATTGGGTAGTCCTATAAAAAATATATATAAAAAAACAAGTGGGTCGTAAAATGGGCCCCTTGGACTAAATTGGGCCTTACTAGACCCAATATAATAACATCCCACATGAAAGTTCCATTATTTAGATCCGGCGCACTGCTTGTCAATCAAAATCAGCGTGGTTACGAATAGATCTCCAATGCGACCGATACCACCGGAACATTACTTGCGTAAAAACAAACAGTCACGCATTTGACGAACATTCTAGGTGATTGGTGGACTGGAAAGCAAAATGTGGCGCCAAGCTCAGATCAGCAGAGCTCAGACGCAACAAATCCAGCACACGTGCCACTCTTCTATGGCACTTCAGAGCATCGTATCCTATGTGAACCAATGGAAACTCAGCACGTGCCCGCATCTACTGCGCCTGGCAGCAGCGTAACGCTATTCCCCGCGCTTTTAAAGATACGAAACGAGGACCTGGAGAGATTCACTGGGACGTGGTGCGCTGAGGACCAGGGTCGGAGAGAGAGAAAAAAAATAATGTCATCGTTCGGATCCGGGTCGACCCGCCCGTTCGACGACGACGGGTACACGGGCTTCGATCCTCCGCTCGTGTCCAAGAGATTCGGCTCGTTCTCGAACTTCGACGCCGACTCCGTCAACGACTCGTCGCCGATATTCTCCAACGAGCCATACCTCACCGGAGACGACGCGTTCAGCTCTCATCCGGTGCCCCGAACTCAATCGCTGCCGTCGATGTACTCCAAAGGTGGACCGTCGTTACCGTCTCCGGCTGAGATGGAGCCGGACGAGGGCTCCCCACTGAAAGAGTGGCGAAGGTGAGCGAGTAGACTCAGTTTCTATTGAATTTTGATTGATATAGTGATGTAAGAGCTGAAACTGATCAAAAGTGTTTCTGAATGTGCAGAATAAACGCGCTTGAGTTGGAGGAGAAGGAGAAGAAGGAGAAAGAGAAGTTGCAGAGGATAATCGAAGAAGCAGAGGCTTACAAGGTGGAGTTCTACAGGAAGCGTCAGCTCAGCGTTGAGAAGAAGAAAGCGTCGAACAGAGAAAGCGAGAAGGTGTTTGTGGAAAATCAAGAGAAATTTCAAGCAGAGGCTGAGAAAAATTACTGGAAAGCAATCGCAGAGCTTATACCTCGCGAGGTGGCAGCGATAGAGAAGAGGGGGAAGAAGAGAGACAAAGACAAAGACAAGAAGGCTTCCGTGGTTGTGGTTCAAGGGTCAAAGCCTGGGAAGCCAACCGAACTCTCGAGAATGCGTCAGATTCTTGTGAAGCTTAATTACAATCCTCCTCAGCATATGAAGCCCAAACCAGAACCAACAGGTCAACCCAAACAAGATGCTAAAGCAATTGTGATTAATGAAGCTGTAGCTGCTGCTTAGAAGGAGTTAATTGTGATTAGAGATTGTTGATTTTGTATGATGATCCTAGAGTTAATCATAATTTAGAACTTAAATAATAATTTTTGTTTTAATGAAATGTATGCTATGATCATTTCTTTCAAATTAGTATGCATTTTATTTTCACTTAATAAATCAACAACCACTTTGCATACTACAACCTTTGTTTGGTGCCAAGAAGCTGCAAATTTTGCAAGCTTCGAGCAAATAATTATGAAACCCGGGAAATGATCATCTGGGAAGCATTTGTGTTTCGGTGTCGTCATAGATCAACGAGCTGGTGGAAGTTATGTCGGGATTCGCCGATGATTGCTTGCGTTTCTCCGAATGAGACGATGATGTCCCGGACGAAGTGGCGCCTCCGAACTTCCGGGATGCCTGCACCCTTGGCTTTGGAGGCTCTAGTAGGGCATTCTCATTTAGGTGGACCTCTTTGGAAAGCATTTCCACCACTTGCTTCATTGTTGGTCTTTGTTGCGCGGCTCCTTGAGTACAGAACAGGGCAACCTTAATGAACCGCATGACCTCGGCCTCTGGATATGCAGTCAAATCTGGATCAACAATTTCCAGCAGCCTTTCTTCTTCTCTTAGTTTCCATGTCTGCAGAAGCATATAAATAATTGTGAGACTTAAAATATAACACTCGTAAAAACTTGCATCAACAATTATGTGGTTCTAGTAAGAAAACTGAACCAAACATATTTTGTCAACCTAGAAAAGACCCCTCATCACCCAAGAACCTTTATTTTTTTGGCTGAGCACAATGTAATTTACTAGAAAAGCATACCCATTCGACCAGAACCAGCAGTTGCTCCCCAAAGGCTGCCTTGCTACTACTTCTGCCACTGATTATCTCAAGCAAAACCACCCCGAAACTGTACACATCTGCTTTCTTTGTAAGCTGTCCCAAAAGTGCATATTCTGGGGCCAGATATCCCCTGCAGACACAGAACATTATTGTTAGTGCATAGAGGGGCAAATAGATAGAGAAAATGGGAGAAAGAACATCCATAATATATCAGTTGCTAATGGCTTTTGGAATATCCTCTCTTTTACACTACAAGATTATTGACTGAATTTCAGGCAGCTTAAGAGCAACTACTTAATAGACCTCGATACCAAATTGAACGTGAAGTTATTTCTTAATATTGATGATTTAATTTATTGAGATAACCCCCCAAGACACCACATTTAGAAACAAACTTCTGAACAACTATATAGCCTAGGCTGTATTTTAATGAAATGTTTAAGAGAATCCAAGCTTACTCTGTTCCCGCCACTCTAGTACTAAGATGAGTGACGTTATCTGGAAAAAGTTTTGCCAGCCCAAAATCTCCAATTTTAGGATGGAAATTTGCATCAAGAAGTATATTGCTAGCCTTGATATCTCTATGGACAACGTGTTGCTCAGCTTCATCATGAAGAAATGCAAGACCAGTAGCTGTACCAAGGCAAATCGCAGTTCTCTTTGGCCAATCTAGAAAAACATATTTACTTCTTGAACCTGTCAAAATAGTTGTTGCATATTAGCATACACTGAAAATTTGACAGATTAGAGGGTGCAACATTACCTTAAGAGAAATATTACATCTTTGAACAAATCCAAAAACTTAATCAGACATTTAAAAGAGATCAAAACCTCCAAGAGGATAAGATAAAAGGGAAGAAAAGCAGGGTCATATGTCATTTCAATCAAAAGTTTTGGATAATGAAATCTGAGACAACAAAAAACTTCAATATTGTAATAATTACCAAGCAAAGAACTTGCAAGACTGTTGTTCTCCAGATATTCATATACCAATATTCGATGATTGTCCTCCACGCAGCAACCAATGAGCTCAACAAGGTTTGGATGTCGCATACTTGATATCACGTTGATCTCTGTCAAAAATTCATTTGCTCCTTGTTTAGATTCTGCAGAGAGACACTTGATCGCAACTTGGGTACCGTCTCTTAGAACTCCCTGCAATCATAAATGATATAGCAGTGTAAGAAAGAAACAGGAAAGCGGTGCTTGTATAGTAGTCAATCTTGGACCTTTAGATCTAGGGTTGGAAAGCTTTCACTTGGAGTCTTTTAATGCTGGCCTTATAAAGAGACTTAACGGTCCAAGATTTGCTACTTATTTTAGCTCCATATTAGCCTACTACACAAATAAAAAGCTTCATTGATCTCACCCTATAGACAACTCCATAACCTCCTCCTCCTATCCTGCTTGATGGATGAAAATTCCTAGTAGCTGATCTCAATGAATTATAAGAAAAGAGCCTCACATTGCTGGTGGGAATCCCTAATTACCATACAGACATAAAAACCCTTGTGAGATCAATTTATCCAGTTCAGAAACATTAATGACCATAAGAAAATATCTAATGGCATGCATGCATGTATCAGACAACATAACCTAGCCTAACACAATAATCCCGAAAGAAATTTTTGTTCTTTTTTATAAGGTTCATATTATTTCTAAAATCATTACTCGAATAGATGGTCAAAGAGGTGGAGGCAAAAACATAAAAAGGGGTCTTGCAGAAAATTAAATGCAAAGATATATGAATCTAAGATAACTTTTCCATTGTAGCTTGCCAATTCCCTACTGACTTTCACAAGGAAAGAAAAACGGAACTTGGACAGAACCATCAGGTAAACAACACGAAGAGTTACACAAGAACGATAGGAATGTTGCATCCAGGGAAGCTTGTGTTGCTGCTAGATGAGAGAATCTCACTTCTCACATGCAACACAAAAAGATGTTTCAAGCTCAGAACTTTGGCAGCATTGCGCCCATTGCCCACAGAATTTTAACGGTTTATCTTATCTACTGAAAAGGTATAAAGGTGCAAACTAGAGATTTAAGATGACCCGTTTGCATCCACTTACAAAAAACTGAATATGATATTGAAATTTAATAAAGAACCAGAACACTACAAATGATAATCCATGCTACAAAGGGAAGACACAAAAAATTGTACGTTTTACGCTTTACTATTTTACAATGTAAGAGTTCAGCTAGTAATTAATTATTAAGAAAACCAAGTCATACTGATTTGCTTACCTTGTGCCTGGACGGAAGACCCGGAAGCATTCCCTTCTTTACTCCAATTGAACACACCGCCGAAGCAACCACAAACCATTGCAACTCACAATTCAGCTTTCCTAAACCCCTATCAACATGTCTTCTTAAACCTTAAACCGTACTAAACAGAAAGTATAAAAAACATAAAAGTCAAGAATATTCAGATCTATAAAACAAAATTTGAAAAAGCCAGGAACAAATTCACATAAAAAAGTGAGACTAGAGCGGAATCTGGAACCCTGACCTGAAATTGGATTGTTTCTTCAACAGAGAAAATGCCAGAACAGTCTTGTATGCTTTTCTGGGCCTGTGGAGTTATAAGCAAAAACCTAAACCCAAATATCTTAGACACAGAGAACGCGCATGGAAGGTGGAAAATTAGTTGGTTCAGCTTAAAATCCATGATACGTACGAACAAATGTGTAAGAAATAAGAATTGGGTTAGTGAATTTTAGTGAGAATATGTTAATTGGAAGAGGTCAAAAGTGTGCTATCAACAGAAGTCAGTGGAAAGGCAAGGACTGTTTTGGCTTATTATCACAAAACGTCTATGACGTTTGCGAAATTATCACATTGCATCCCTAACGTTTTTTTGTATCATTAATGGTCCCTAACGTTAATACAGGTACTCTTAAATAATCCCTCTGTCAAAAAAACCGTTGGGGCAGGGAGAGAGTTGCAGAGAAAGTACATAGAGGGGCAGGGGTATAAGATCCCACGGTGGTGGTTATGGAGGTCGAGCTGGTGGTTTGGGTGGCTATGGGTTGGTGGGCTGTGGGAGGGGGCAGGGAGAGAGTTGCATACAGAGTAGAGAGAGGGGCAGGGATATAAGATCCCACGGTGGTGGCTTTGGTGGTCGGGGTGGTGGTTTGGGTGGCTAGAGGAGACAAAGAGAGAGAGAGAGAGAGAGAGAGAGAGAGAAGGGAAGGAAAAAAGAAAGAAAGAAGAAGAGT